TGGTTCTCAACTGAGGGTTGATGGAGGGGAGGGGGGTGAGGGATGGGCTAGGGGGGTGATGGGTATTAAGGAGGGCACTTGTTTTTTTTTTTTTTTTTTTGAGAGAGAGAGAATGAGAGAGAGAGAGAGAGCACATGAGAGGGGGAAGGGTCAGAGGGAGAAGCAGACTCCCCGCCGAGCAGGGAGCCCGATGCGGGACTCGATCCTGAGACTCCAGGATCATGACCTGAGCCGAAAGCAGCCGCCCAACCAACTGAGCCACCCAGGCGCACAAGGAGGGCACTTGTTATGATGAGCACTGGGTGTGTATGTAAGTGATGAATCACTAAATTCTACTCCTGAAACCAATATTGCATTGTATGTTAACTAACTAGAATTTAAATAAAAAATCAAAAAGAAAAAAAAATCCAGTGGTTCTCAAAATGTGGCCCCTAGATAAGCAGCATCAGTGTCACCTGGGAACAAGTGCATTAGAAATGCCAAGTTTCTGGGGTGCCTGGGTGGCTCAGTCGGTTAAGCATCTGCCTTCTGCTCAGGTCATGATCTTGAAGTCCTGGGATCGAGCCCCCTGCTCAGCGGGGAGTCTACTTCTCCCTCTCCCACAAAAAAAAAGCCCACTTGTGCTCTCTCTCTCTCAAATAAATAAATAAAATCTTAAAAAAAAAAAAAAAAGAAATAAAGAAGAGCCAAGTTTCAGCTCCCACCTAAAAACTACTGAATTAGAACCACCGTGTGCGGGGCCCAGCAATCTGTGTTTTAATGAATGCTCAAGATGATTCTGGTGCTAGCTAAAGTTTGAGAACCAATGATATCAGCAAACCATCTAGACGGATCCCCTTGTACATAAGGCTGAAGGAAAGAATGATCTACACTGGTGCTTCTCAACTCTTGAGTGTTTGTTCAAAGCAAGGGATCCCAGCCCAGAAAAATGTATACCCACATGGAAGTTTCAGGGCTGGCTGGCCCTGGTGAAAGACCCCCACTCTTTGGCAATCCAGAGGCTCTGCTCTTCTCTGGGTCTAAGGCTGACCTACAGAGAATCTTAGAGCTGAAAGAGACCTTACAGGTTACTTAGTCCAACCAAAGCAGGAATCTGCTCTACAATATCCATAGAGCCTCGGCATTAGCTGGGCCCTTCCAGAGACTGCGAGCTCACCGCTTCCTAAGAGCTTGTTTGCAATTGTCCTTGATTTATTTGGGGAGGGTTAGTGCTTGTTCAGTCCTACATAGGTCTGGATCAACCAAGCTCCAGGAACTTGGTTGAAATAGGCTTATAAACCCCAACTAAAGGAAGTATGTGACTGCCCTAAGTGGTAGAAATGAATGCAGTATTTTTAAAATAACCTATCTCAGTGGTGGTGATGGAATATCCTCCTTTATATTGATCCGAAATCTACCTCCCTGCAACCTCCCATTCCCCACCCCGGTTTCAGCTTCGGAGCCACAAGGAGCAAACCCAAGGTCTTGCTTAACAAAAGACAGCATTTACTTTTCATGGGCCTCGCTTGGCATGGGAGCACAGGGAGGGTGGTCTCTGGCTACCCTCAGCCTCCGGTTCAGAAGATGCAGGTGCAGCCCACCGCAATGGTCTCCATGACGGTGCGCTGGCGGCAGGGCCCGGTGCGTGGTGGCAGCGGGCAGAGGCGACGGCGCACAGGCACCTGGCTGAACACGGGCACGCTCACCATGCTGCGGTCCTCCTGCATGGTGAAGGGGTTCACGCAGCCCAGACACAGGCACCGCGCCTCCGGCAGGTCCACAGGAATGCGGCTCGGGTCGTGGTTGATGCTGCAAGAAGGCAGGAGAGAGCCCTGAGGGGCAGGTGCTCAGGACAGGGCAAATCCATGCCCAGGCCCCACACCCCTACCTTTCCTAACTGGGGTTTTCATACCCGCAGCAAGACTGTGCTCTTCTGGGGCCTGGGCAGTGATGAACTCCGGGTTCCAAGTGAGAAAACCGAAGATCTTAGAAGGCAAGCCAGCCCCAAAGTTATCCAGGCTCAAGGTCACCAGTCACCCAGTTCCCTTCTTTCATCCCCAAGTAGCCCATCCCAGTACTAGATTGTACTGTGGGATCGCAAGGAAGCCAACGCTTTCTCTGTCTCGCACCCCCTCCCCTGCCAGGTGTTTATACTTATATATAACTTCATCCACGGGAAATGACGTAGGAGCTCGTTGATGCCTAATCCTCACCAGAAGAGGAGTCAGGAGGCCTGGGTTCTATTCTGACTGCGTTTCTCTTCATTCAAGACATACTTTTCACACACCCACCACGTGAATGAATCTGTCCTAGACATGAGGTGTTCACACATGGACAACACACACAGGTTCCCTCCTAGAGCTGAGAGTATAGGGACTTGCTTTGTGACCTTGCCTTCCTTGTGCCTCAGCTTTCTCGTCTGCTAAATGGGAGGGAGGGAGTTTGTGGACTTGCAGCATCTGCATCACTCAGGAGCGTATTAGAAATGCAAAATCTCAGGGCGCCTGGGTGGCTCAGTCGTTGAGTGTCTGCCTTCGGCTTAGGTCATGATCCCAGGGTCCTGGGATGGAGCCCCACGTCGGGCTCCCTGCTGAGTGGTAAGCCTGCTTCTCCCTCCGCCTGCCGCTACCCCTGCTTGTGTTCCCTCTCTCTCTGTCTCTCTCTCTGTCAAATAAATAAATTAAAATCTTTAAAAAAAAAAAAGCCCCCCCAAATCTCATCCTTACCCCAGATCTCCTGAGTCACAACCCGCATTTTTATAAGATCCCCCCCAAAAATCAAGGGCACAGTAAAGTTTGAAGCCCAGGTTTGCAGGATTTTAACGGACCCTTCTAATGGCCGCATTCCAGATACACATTCCACATGTGACTATTTAAATTTAACTCAATCAAAATTAGTCAACTGTACTTAAAATAAATAAATCTAAAATAAATGAAATAATCAAAATGAGTTCCTCAGTTGCACTAGCTACATGTCAAGTGCTCAATAGCCACATGAAGCTAGTCATCATCACAGAAAGTTCTGTTGAACATACTCTTCTAGAGTCTCGGGACCTAAGATGTGCGCTAAAAAGTATTTGGCCTGGATGCATCTGGGTGGCTCAGTTGGTTAAACATCCGACTCTTGGTTTTGGCTCAGGTCATGATCTCAGGGTTGTGAGATCAAGTCCCACTTTAGGCTTCACACTCATCAAAGAGTCTGCTTGAGATTCTCTCTCTCCCTCTTCCTCTGTCCCTCCCCCTGCTCCCTCTCTCACTCTCGCTCTCAAATAAATCTTGAAAAAAAATCTTTGGCCTGATTTGTGAGTGAGGACCCCTCCAGGTTAGTCTATTTCTTTTTTTTTTTAAAGATTTTATTTATTTATTTGAGAGAGAGAGAATGAGAGAGAGCATGAGAGGGAGGAGGGTCAGAGGGAGAAGCAGACTCCCCGCTGAGCAGGGAGCCCGATGTGGGACTCGATCCCGGGACCCCAGGATCATGACCTGAGCCGAAGGCAGTCGCCTAACCAACTGAGCCACCAGGCGCCCTAGTCTATTTCTTCATTACTTATTCAGCACACATACATTCAGCCCTTCCTGTATGCCAGGGTCTGTGCTTAGAAGGAGAGCTACAGTCAAGGTGAGACACCAAACCTATCATGTAGGGACGGCAGGTCTTAACTAGCAAACCTGGCTGTGCACCCTAATCACGGGGAGATGTTTAAAATAAAAAAAAACAAAATAAATAAGTAAATAAATAAATAAATAAGTAAATAGAAAGAAAATCTGAAAAAAAAATACCACTTTCTGCGCCTCTTCCTGGAGACTGTGATTGAGTAGGCCACTCGAATCCTTACATGACTCTGATGCAGGCCCTGGGAAGGTGCCAGTCAAACGTGAGACAGATGCTGACACAGCAACTTGATGCCTCCTGCAAGAACTATGACTGGGAGGAAGTGAGAGCCTTGCAGGCCCTTAGCGGGGATGTGAACCACAATCCCCGGGCTTTGCCTCCATAGCTCATTTAATAACAAGCCTATAAAACCTATGAAGTGAGACTCTTAACTATGGGAAAGAAACTGAGGGTCACTGGAGGGGAATTGGTTGGGGATTGGGGTAACTGGGTGACAGGCATTAAGGAGGGCATGTGGTGTGATGAGCACTGTGTTATAGGCAGCCGATGAATTACTGAACTCTACCTCTGAAACTAATGATGTACTATATGTTGACTAATTGTATTTAGACTTTTTTAAATGAAAAAAAAAAAACCACCTATGAGTATGAACCCGTATCACCGCCACTTACGCTGAGGAGCCTGGGGCTCAGAGAGGCTAAGCTTGCCCTAAGCCACACAGCCAGTAAGAAGCAGAGCCGGGATTCAAACCAGGCGCTGAGGCCTCTGAATCCAAGGTCTAACTGTGACAGTGATGGGAACGGTAGGCGCCGTGTGCGGCTCGCCCCTGGCTGCCCAGCCCAGCCTACCTGTAGGCCCAGGGCGACAGGCTCCTCTTGTTGGACAGCCACAGCTGCAGGTTGACCTCACACTTCCTCTTGGCCGGCTCGGAGCTGTTCCTCAGCTGGGCCACCATCTCCCCGAGATTCCTCTCATACTCCTCCATGCGGGTGTACGGCTTCGTCTGGGACACTAGGTCCAGCGGCAGCTGGTGAGGCCCTGGAGCCAGGGTGCCAGGCCGCCCTGGCCCCTTCCTCTTGCCTTTGGGGTTCCTGGGCTGGCCCAGCCCCAGGAAGATGGAGAGGGCGAGAAGGAACAGCTGGGGAAGAAGGCCACATGTCAAAGGTAGGAGAGCCTGGTCTCCTGCTCTGGGACAAGGCTCAAGGCCCAAGAAGGAGAGAGGGAAGAGAGCCTCTATGGGGACCACCCTCACCTGCCACGCGTGGCCTGGTCCCACCAGGCCACCACACGTGTACCACAAGTGTGTGTATGTACCATAGTCATCGCTAAGTCCTGCCTGAGGCACCTCTTAAACATCTCACCACACTTCCACTTCTCTGGGCAACCATCCTCACTTCCCTCAAAAGCCTCCTACCTGGGCTCCCCACATCCTCCCTGGCTCCTTCAATCTGTTCTCCATACCATGGCCAAGGACAGGTGTTTGAAATGCAAATCTGATCATGTCACCCTTCAGCTTAGCAGTTCACCCTCAGGGTAACAACGCCCCGACTCTGCCACACGGTCTGACCTTCACCTCCTCAGACCACCCCTGATTCCTCTCACACCTGTGCTCCAGCCTCTGGCCTTCTCTGAAGCCCTTCTTCCCGCCATGATCCTTCCTGCCACAGGGACTTTGCACAGGCTGCTACCTGCAGAGTCCTGCCTCCCCTCACCTTCTAAATGCCTCTTACCCCTCATGTCTCAGCCCAGGGTCATGTCCTTAGGGATGCCTCAGTGGACTTTCTTGGGCTCCCAACACCACACGCCCCTTGCGTGACTGTAGACTTATTGTGTGTGTGTGGTTCTTTTATACGGCCGTCCCCCACCAAGAACAGACTTCGTGTGGACAGACATTGCAACAGTTTCCACATAGTGTCTCAACCCCCGTGACTGGGTCAGTGAACGGCTGTCCCCATCCCTGCCCTTCTGTAGCTCACCGTCTGGGATGGGGAGGACACAGTAGACAAGAAACAAACCCCTAAATCTCTTGGGGCTGGTTGTTGATGATGATGAGGTGGGCTGCATGTGACTAGAGATCAGGGACAGCGGCTTAGCCGGAGCAGTGGATTGGTCCCGCAAGGCCTTTCTGGGGAGCGGGCATGTAGGTGAGGTCTGAAGCATAAGAGGGAGGCAGATGTGGGCAGAGGGAGTCTAAATATCTCACAGGGAGGGGAACAGTGTGAAGGGAGGTTTGAGTTGGTGAAGAGCTGTGCTGGGGAAACCACGAGGCTGAAATAGAGTATGCAGAGGAAGCCAGCAGGGCAGGGTCGGGGGAGGGGGGACTAAGGTGGGGAATCAGGCAGGTCCCGGCTGAGGATCCCCGTTGGACGCCATGACACCTGCACTCCCGTCCTTCACGCCCGGCGCTCTGCCTGCCGCCCACCACCCACGCCTCACCCGCTTGTATCCAACTGTCGTTCTCCTGCTCCCACAGGACCGGGAGTGTCAGGAAAGGCTCTGGCTTGCTCGGGAGAAGCCCTGGGGGCCTGGCAGAACCCAGACACCTCAGCAAGCCCAGGAGACACAGACCAGAACTTGGGTGGGGCCCAGGGCTCGCCAGAAGGGAGGAAACTTCAGGAGGGTTTCATCTGGTCCCTGAATCTAACCAGGCTCCTACCTGCCCTGAGTCACTCACCTCACCGCCTGCACGGCCCACGTCTGAACTATCCAGGCTACCCAGCAAGTCTTGACCCTTGGAAACAAGTTTCAGCATAGCCCCTCCTGGCAGCACCACTGCCTGGCCCCAAATCCACCACAGAGACTTAAGTCGCTAAATTCTTCCTTTTTGGCCCTGGATTCTGGTGCAGAAAAATGTCTCCTTAACCGTTGGCTTTCCCATCTGAGCGTCTCCCGTGGGGTTCTTAAACTCTGGCTCTCCATTCAGAGAAACCCAGAACAGAATCAAAGTCCCCTTCCCTGGGAAGAAGAATCAAAAAGGACTCGCCCAAGGTCACACGGCCTGGATCTCAGGACCCCGGGGACGCTTTGGAAAAACCCCCGATAACGGAGTTTGCCAGGATCTGCCCCGATGGCTTCGGCCTGAAAGGGCCTCACTGCGGACGGGCTGAGCCCGGTTCAGGAGCCCGAGCTGTTGGCCATGGCTGCAGGCTCTGAGACCAGTCTCTGTTTCTCTCTCACCCTGGGGGAGATGGCCGAGGGAGAACTCGCCTCTGCAGATTCCAAGCCAAACAGAGGCAGCCATTAATCAATAGGAAAGAAGTAACGAAACCCTCAGGCCCGAAAATGGGGTGGGGGTTGGGGGGGGAGAGCGCCACGTACCAGGTTGTGCGGCCAGTCCATCCTGCGAGCCAGGCGGCTGGCCTGCAGCTGCCGCCCGCCTGGAACCCCAGATGCCTCCGCCAAGAGAATGGCAGCAACAGGATGGAGCGAAGCAATTATAGCTCGTCAGGGGGCTGCTGGGGGTGGCTGGGTGGGCTCGTCATCAGCTGGGAGCCTCAGGCCCCCAGCTGGCTGGGCCTGGCGCAGTGGCAGGCGGCTAGGGGCGTGGGGGCAGGCCAGGAGCCGGGCCGAGGTGCCCAGGGGCTGTTGACTGAGGGACAATGCCCTGTGTGTCTGGCGGGGCTCTGGCGGGTGGCACCTCCGCCTGTGGCCTGTGGCTAGCCACCCGGCCAGCACCCGCAGGGCCAGCTAAGACAATCAGCTTCGTTTGCTTTGGGGATGGGGAGGGGGTGAGGGTGGAGGAGGGATGGGCTGTCCGTTGGTCAGGAGAGCAAATGTTCTCGAGTGTGCCGGCCAGGAGCAGGACACAGGCCCCATCTCCCAGGGAAACAGCCTCAGGCACCCCGGCCTCAGCCAGCCTCAGGTGAGTTCAGTGGCCCTGGGGGGTCGGAGTCCCACCCACGTAGTTCACTGGCAGGGAAACTGAGGCCAGGGCGAGGAAGGGACGTGTCTGGGATGACACAGTGGGTTAGAGATGACAGACCTGGGATTCATACCCGGTCCCGGCGCAGGGCCCTATCCCCCACCCCCGGCTGTTTGTCTTGGGATATTTTCTGCAAGGTTCCAGCCTGCCGTGAGCGTGTTCCTGAATCTGTGCCCTCACGCGGGCTAAGTCGCAATTCGTGAGGACTTCATGGCTGCTTGTTCTGGCCTTCCCAATGTCGTGCTCCCCACCCCGTGCAGAGGGTCTTCGCTCCAGGGCCCTGCCCCTGTGTGGCTGTCTGTGACTTTGACTCTGTCTCAGCCTTAGTTTCCTTCTCTGTAAAGTGGGAGTCCTACTTAGGAATCAGCGGTGGCCTGGCCCCTTTTTTCCTGAAATCTCTCCGAGTCTCCCTTCCCACTTCTCTAGAATGGGGGTAATTGTAGTGGCCACTACTTGGGGCTGTTAAAAGGAGTAAAAGGAAATAAGCCATGTTCAACAGCTGGTACAGTACCTGGCATGTAGAAAGTGCTCAATAAATACTTAGCTGATTATGATGAAATAATCATATAATTGTAACTACAAACATTAGCTGTTCTAATTAGCATTAGAGCCAGCATGGTTCTCATTGCTCAGTCAACTCTCCTTCCTTACCCCTTGGGCCCACCCTCCCGAGAGAGCTCTGGGCTTCACAGGCTCTGGCCACAATGTGGTGAGCTCGGGTGACCCCAGGGTCTACGGGGCCCGGAATCCCACGCTGAACTGACCAGCCCTGCGGGTCGAAGTCTCTCACCTCAAGTGAACAGCCCAGCCCGACGACAGGAGCGAGCCAGTCCACCCAGGGAGGCGGAGGAGGGTTGGGAGGGAGCGTGCAGAGGACAGGGAGGGACACTGTGAGCAAACATCTAGGACTGCACCGTCTTGTTGAGGGCCAGTCCTGGCCGTTTACAGGAATCGGGTGAGGGGGAGAACACAGAGCGCAACGCGCTCCTGAATGTCACAAGATTAATCTGTCCGGGGCAGGTTTCCACAGCATAACTGAGAAACTGGCTGAGGCTAGAGCTCATCGAGAGATACCACCATATTTGGTCAAATACTAGACAGGACTCTATTCTACCACTGGAAACTCCAGAGGGAGGGGGACTCTGAAAATACCTCCTCCGGCAGCAAGGGCCCCCACTCCCATCCCGGCTGCCCCTGCCCCACTCCCCTCGGAGCAAGCGTGAAGGGGTGAGGATTGCGGGCAGCCTCCTTGCTACCCCTCTGCTGCTGCTGGCAGAGCGTCCGACCAGCACACAGTTGGGGGGACCCCACTCCCACCCTGGCACCCACAAAAAGGGAAATTAAGAGGCAGGGACCCGGCTGCCAGGGGTTTCCTCTGCTTTCCAGGACCCCTGAAACCACCACACTCTCCTGCCTGCTGGCCACACACACCCTCGCTTCTGTATCCCCAAGTCAGGACTTAGCTTCTCGGCTTCCAGCTTTGGTGCTTGTCCATATAGATTCCAGGCTCCCAGCCTCGGAGCTCTGATAATGCAGGCCCGGGAATCTGCACCTAACAAGGAGCCAGTCTGGGAACTACAGGAGTCCTTACCCATCCCCTTCTCGTTCCCCAACCCCACCCCTACTTTAGCATAGGAGACAGAGGCCTGGGAGGGGTGGGCCTCATCCAAGGTCACAGGCCTGTTGGTGCCAGAGCCGGTCGGGGAGGCTGGTTAGAGCACACCTCAGTCTCCTAATTCTTACTACTCTTCCCCCGAAGTTTACACCTACAGCTCCGGGCCAGGCTGGGACTCCGGGGGGGTAAGGGGGAGGGACACTCCTCCCAGTGGGGAGAGGGATCTGTGGGGTACACAGGCAGGTGCTTGGGGAGTCACGGATGGGCCCACTGACCATCACTGGGTTTCCCATTCCTGGGCCATCTCAGGCCTGGAAGATAGTCCCTTCTTCCAGCCTAGGTTTCTAGAAACCACTGAAGGGTCATCTGCCCTCAGGGATGTCCTAAGTGTGAACCCTGGCCCGCCACCCTGGTGGACCACTGCGGGATGCAACCCAGGCCTGAGTGGGAGGCGGAAGAACTTGGGCTTCAGGGGCTTCTGCGTCACAGCAAAGTTGGGGTCATCAGCACTCATGAATGAGAGAAGGGGCGGATGGGCTGGAGAGGGAGAGGCAGCGGGGTGTCTAGCTCAGCGCCGCAGGGGCCCTCGGTGGCAGGGGCCTCCGTGAGCAGTGCTGTGCTTGCCACCAGGTGGCACCACCAGAAAGCCAGACAGCCCCAAAGAGGACAGCAAGCCCTGAGGGAACCTCACGCTGCCCTTCCGCCTGCGCGCCACCCACCCCCCCCCTTCCCTGGAATGGGCCCTGGCGCTGAAAATGAGGGGACCAGGGGAAGGGGCATCGGTCCCGTGCCTGCCCCTGGTTGCCCGAGGGATCCTACCGTTAGGGTCCAGCTCCAGGGATAGCTCCCACATCAGAGCAGGAACAGCACAACCAGCAAGAGTGAGCGGGCGGGGTGAGAGGGAGCTTCTGTCTGCTGCGTGAGTGATCCCCTTCACGTGGAGCATCTACCAGGTGCTAGGCCCTAGGCACCTGTCAGCTAGACATAGTAATTTACAGAAAAGAACAATGAGTAATAATAACAGCTACTGCTTAATATTTACTCACTGACTGCCAGGCACTGTGCCAAGTCCTTCGTGTGCATTGGGTCATTAAATCCTCCCAGCCACCCTGGAGTGAGGTCCTAATTTTATCCCTCATATACAGGTGGGGAAACTGAGGCTCAGGGAGCCCAAAGTCACAGAGCATTCGAAGGAAGTCTGTCTGATTCCCGTACATGCTGTTCCTTGCAGGGGGGGGCATGAAAAGGAGCGGCGATGTCCAGCTGGTCACCGAGGAGGGGCTATGCTTGCCTCAGCCTCACCCTGACATCCTCAAACGACCCAGACCGTGAATGCTGGGGAGGACACTGCACCCAAGCCCACACCAGAGTCCTCAAGGGGATCTGAGAGCTCCGACGGTGTGAGCACGGCACCCAGCAATGTTCCTGGCATTCACAAGATATTGGATGCATTGACTCAAACCAGATGTCTGTAATATGGAGGGGCAATGCTAAATGGAGAACGGGAGGCCAGGGCAGCGGGGACCTGTAAGATGTGGGATTGCCCGGGACTAGGAGTTCAGACTCTAGAGATTGACAGACCTGAGTTTGAATCCTGCCTCTACCAGTCCACAGCTGTGTGACTTTGGGATGGTCACTTGACTTCTCTGAGCCCTAGTTTCTTCTGCGCAGCAGAGAGAATAATAACTTGGCCTGGCTAGCACGTTGTGAGTATCAAATGAGATACTGCATGTGAAAGCAGTTAGCAGAACGCCTGACAAAAGCGAATGCTCAATTAAAGGTGCTGCCGTTGTCACTGTTCTTGTGAAAACACATTTTGATTTGGGCCTTCAAGGATGCTTCTGGAGAGTTCTTAGGTGGGAAGGACATTGTGAGGTGGGAACAAGGATAGAACCTGCAGAAGAACGCAGCGGCCCCGTTGCCAGTGGGCTCACCCTGGAGCCAGGAGGACCTGTGGGAGTCAGTGTAAAGACTTGCCCAAGCGGACCCAGCAAGGCCTGGGGAAGTGGGACACTAAGAGGCGCCTCCGTTGCGAGATGGAGGGGGCCTGTGGCCGGGAGGGCGCATCCTCCACAGGAGGTCTTGGCTCTCCTGCCATGCGGCCCACCCCGCCGCCACCCTCCTGGGTAGGAGTCTTTCTCCCAGGCCCATATTTGCACAAATGCCTGCCTTACTGCTCACTCCAGAGACCCAGCCAAGAGGCACTATTTTAAGCTCCCTGGACGGGAACGCTGTTGGTGGGAGCAGACCCAGCCAGCAAGCTCCCAGTTCTCAAAAAAGGGAAAGGTCTGGGTGAGCGGGCGGCCCCTGAGATGGGCCGAGGGGCTGCCACACCCACAGGGTCCTCTGCCCAGGCCAGCAGCCCATGCCTCCTCCCCCGTGGGGGGCAGTCAAGGAAGTGGGAGTCGGGGTAGGACTCTAAGAGGTGGACTTGTGCTCTGGAACTGGGTGGCCAAGGTGTCCCTGCTGCCCAGCAGCCAGCCCCGAAAACACCAAGCTTGCGTTTCCAAATTACAGATTGACTCCACCCCAGACCTCGTCTCTTGTTAGCACTTACCCGTGGCCCCTCAGAGCCAGGGCGTGTCTTGTGTAGCCACTACCAGCATAGGATCCCCATTTAAAGCATCTCCGCTGGACACCCTCATAGCAGGGAGATCATTTCTCTCTGAGGACACACATCCCACTCTTTAAAGCTCTCGTGGTTGAAAATAATAATGATGATTATAAAAGTTTTATCTTTCATTATGCTGACGTCCCCTCTTACAATGCAATATGGTATAGTGGGAGATGGCCGCCTTCAGAAATGGTGGTCGGACACTTGCCCAGCCCCTCATATGTGGCCACG